AGAGCATGAATGAATGGATTCTTCCTTCCTTCCTTCCTTCCTTCCTTCCTTCCTTCCTTCCTTCCTTCCTTCCTTCCTTCCTTCCTTCCTTCCTTCCTTTTCTATCACAGTTTATAATGGTTCTTTCTCATTTTTATTCTGGTTTTAAAATGTGTTTTGATTTAAATTAATAGTTTATAAAGCATAGTACTGAGATTTTACTCAATGCATTCTTTGAGAATATCAGTTATTTGGACAGTTTAGGAGGGCATCTGTAAATTTACATCCTAGGTTCCATTGGTTGTCATGCAGTAAGGTCATGGACGACATGAATTTTGCTGTTCTCAAGTCCATCAGTGCTCTGTGTTGGCAGTTTTTGCTGGCATACCACATTGTCTTTTTTCCAAATGGAAGTAATATACCTCTGCTTAAATAAATGAATATTTCCATCTGAACTGATTCATTTGATATATTACACAAACTAATTCTTTACACAAACTAATCATTTCCTTCATTGAAAAACAGTTTCAAGTTCTTTTAGTTCTAAGTTGGATGGGGACCCAACTAATTTTTTGTTGTCGTTTCTTTTACACTGTCATTCATTGACCCACAGCTAGCATTTTATGTAGCACATGGTCCTGTACATTATTATCATAGTAGAAAACCCATGTGACACAAGAAAATCCATATGACACAGGAGATGAGTATTATAATTTATCAGTGCAAGCATCATTTTAAAAAACAAAGTAGCATCCATTGTTATGATAAATTATAAAATATGTTTATGATTAGTGTAGGAGCATTCTAGAACTCTATACATTTAGCAAAGTAGAAGAGAAGGTTTGAAAAAGAAGTTGGCCACAAAAAAGCAAAGATGACTAATTCTTTGACTTTACCAAGAGATTACTGAGCACATTTATCAAGCAAAAGTGATGGGACTTGTTTGGGATGACTCCAAGCCACAATGTGATGCTGGGTAAGCATTATTACAACAGAGAAACAGATGTAGAGCAACAATACCATAGACTTATTTTGTCAGACAAATAGATTTTTCTAGCACATAAGCAATTGTTTATGATTTTTCCCCAGCCATATGAGTTTATGTAAGAGAATAATATGTAGTTCAAAGAGAATATACTTTAGAGGTATATACCTGATCTTCATCTGTTCAGTACTGTCACATTCTTGTGTGGTGTAGAGTGATTCTCTAAATCTGTCTTAGCCTCAGTTACCTCATCTGTAAAATTAAGAAAATGCCTTAATGAAATGACACTTGATATTTATAACGATGACCTGAGACGGGGAAAAGCCTGGACAGTCTGAATTATTCACTGATTTTTATAATATTACCTTTGTCTAGAATTGTAACCTTTCTATCATTTTATTCCAGTAACCTGAGTAGCTAATGAACTAAAACAGCCAGTTGCTGAGAGAGAGAGGAATAGAGTATATGCTATGTTTCTGCTTTATATGCTAAAAATATTATTGCCTATAAACCAGTATAAATACACTTTTAACTATAAAGACAACATTCATTCTATCTGTCAATGTTAGCCAGTGGGCAAAAGGTTAGCCAACTTTTTCTTTCTTTACCTGGACTAATACTTTTCTTTCCCTCTGAACTTAGGAGCATGTATCCTGTTTGGAAATCTTTTCTCGAGGGAACAATGCAGGTAGCCCAGTCTCGGATCAATATATGCGAAAACTATAAAAACTTCATTTCTGAGCCTGCAAGGACAATGAGAAGCTTAAAAGAACAACAACTAAAAAGGGTATTGTTTATATTTGTTCCTTTCTTATATACATTTTAATATCTCAGTGCTACATTTGTAATCTGCAAGATTATGTTAAATTGCATTTAACACTTGGAGCTTTTCTTTATAGTCACAAATGTTTCTGATTTCAATATGTTCCCTCTAGCCACTCTATTTTATTAACTGACAAATTGAGTGTAATTTCAATCTGTGGAAATTCTTAAAGCTCTGTAAACTCTTCTTAGCAAATATCAGTTTTCAGTTAAACTCAAGTAAACAGATACCTTTAGTTTCACAATATTGGTATAGTTTGGTGTATATTAAAATAGTTACAATGTTAATCTCACTGAGTCTTGAAAAACTTAATCTTAGCTTCAACTTGAGCCATTTTGCATAATAATTTAAAGGAAATTGACACATTTTGATGAAATACAGCAAACTTACTACCAAAAATAGTGTACTCGAAAGTTTAATTATGTAAGTTATATAAAAGTTTTCAAATAGATATGTTTCTTTGAATAGGCAGAAATTAAAAATTCACAGAAAAATCATTTAACATGATTTTTATGAAAAGCTTGCTATTGAAAGTAGATGATTGAATTGTGTCCTTTTTGGAAATAGAATTACAAAAATAGAGATTATCATGACACCTGATAAGTAATTAAATTTTTCTTACGGCAGTATTAATACTTTAGAAAATATTAAGTTGTAATTATTTAAGGAAATAATATTTCAGAAGCCATCCAGTATTTTTGTTCTGGTTGTCATTTGAGTTTTCAGAATTTTTTTACAAACAACCTCTCCCCCAAAAAATCTAATCTTACTTGTTTGCCAAAGATAATTTCAGTAGCATGAAATCAATATGTTACATGTATATTGTGCATATACAATTTTAATCTCTTTCGAGCACTTACATAATATCAGTCAGTTTTAACATATTTTTATAAGAATACCCTTGTTTTATCTTTGTTCAAATACTCCTTGCAAAACAAACATGGTGAATATACTCTGTGACCACTGACCAAACAATGCTTTTGATTTGGAGGAAAACACTGTGCGCGTGTGTATGTGTGTGTGTACATCCATCTGTGAATGCTGAGAGAGGGTAGGAGATGGAGCAGAGAATTATCAATACTAATGTAACTTCCTAACCAGGAGGAAATACTGCATTTCAGATAGCCAATGCATTTACCAAATCTAATTGATTTACTGGAATGTTCCACCTTTCTCAATATCAGAATATTTTGAAAGTTGACCACTTCTACTTTTTCTTCCATTGGTAGGATACTCTCTGACCTGAATTCAACCAGTATTCCTGGGCAAAGAATATTTAGTGAGATATCACAAGCCCTCATACCTGTGAATTAACTTGTTTTATTTTATAGCTGATAATGATGCTTATGTTTCATCTAAGCAGTTGTTAAACATGAAGTATACATTGGGTATACCTGAGGACTCTGAGGTTACCAATGAGACAAACCTACTTCAAACTGATTTAAGCCAAGAAGAGAATGTATTAGCTTGTAAATTTCAGCATGGATGAATCCAGGCAAGGGTGGATCTAAAAGAATAGTATTAGAATTCAGTTTTTCTTCTCATCCATTAGCTCTGCTTTTCCCAATGGCTTCATTCTTTAGCAGCTCTTCATATGGTGACCCCCAAAGTGCCAGATTTGCAAATCTTACAGCCAGCCATCCTACGTTTTCCATTTTCCCCAAAGTTCAAAGAAAACTACCAGAATTAAAGCTCATTGGGTCAGAAGGCTCCTCCCTCCCCCTGCCCCAAGTCAGGGGTTACACTTCTTATGAAAACTACATGGACTAAAAATGGTAAAAGGGATTCTCCAAAGGGAAATTGAGATGGGTTCCCAAAGAAAATACAAGAGAAATAGTAACAGAGCAAGCAAAAGCAACAGATGGCCACTACAGTTGGCTTCTCCAATTGTACATCTCAGACTTTATGGCACACTAACTCCATATGGGATCAATGAACCATCTATTCTTTTCCGTTTTCGTCTCCAACCCTCCCCCCTTTTATGGCTTTCTTCTGGATTAATCTTTTCTTTTAAAAATATTTTATTGTGATAAGAACAACTGATATGAGGTCTACCCTCTTAACATGATTTTAAAGTATACAATACAATATTGTTATCATAGGCATAATATTGTTTATCCGATCTCTAGAACTTATTCATTTTACATAACTGAAAATTTATATCTTTTGATTAGCAACTCCCGCTTTCCTCTTCCCCCAATTACCACCAACCACATTTCTCTTCTTTGTTTCTATAAGTTTGACTATTTTAGATACTTCACATAAATGGAATCATTCAGTAATTGTCCTTCTGGAGCTGTCTCATTTCATATCATAATGTCCTCCAGGTTCTTTCATGTCGTTGTATATTGTAGGATTTCCTTTTTTAAAAGACTGAATAATATTTTATTCTATGTATATACTACATTTTTATACATTCATATGTTGATAGACATTTTGATTGTTTCTGCATTTTGGTTTTTGTGATCAGTGCTGCAGTGAACATGGGGTGCTAATATCTCTTTGAGATCCCGATTTCAGTTCTTTTGGATAAATACCCAGAAGTGGGGTTGCTGGATTATATTGTAGTTCTAGTTTTAATTTTTTGAGGAAGTTCCATACTGTTTTCAATAGCAGCTGCACCATTTTGTATTCCCACCAACAGTATACAAGGGTTCCAATTTTTCCATAAACTTGCTAATGCTTATTATCTTTTTTTAAAAATAACCATCCTAACAGTTGTGAGGTAATATCTCATGGTGCTTTTGATTTACATTTCCCTGATGATTTATAAGGTTGAACAGTCTTATAGTTCTTATTATCAATTTTTCCTTCACTATTAGCTTTTTAATTTTATAATCTCATATTATTCTTTTAGTAATTACCTTAAGGATTCTGATGTGCCTCCCTGACTTATTACAGTTTACTTTAAATTGATACTTTTACTATTCTCCAATCTTTACTCTAAATTAACTTATTACAGTCTACCTTGAATTAGTTATTTTACTACCTCATGAACAATGCAAAAATCTTCCAACATTATAATTCCACCCCTATTATGACTTTTCCGGTTAGTTAGACCTTTTGACTCTTTCCACGTGTCTTTTGTACTTTTACTGCATTTTTTATTTCCACCCTTTTTCCTCTCTCTACTTCAATCTGAATATTCTCCACTAGTATCTTGCAATTTAATAATACTCTGTTCTGCTGTTTCTTATCTGCTATAAAACTTATGTATTAGAAAATTAATGTATTTTTCAGTTCTAGAATTTTTATTTGATTTAAAAAAATAGATTTATATTTCTAGTGTAATTCTCCATGTATTTCCTTTATCTTCTTAATATATTAGTCCTAATATGCGTATCATAATTCCACTGTCTGAATCACTTTATGTCTCTTTTTATCATTTATTGTTTTTCTTGGTTTTTGGTTACTTGAATCTGCTGTTTGAGTATGCCTCACAATGCTGCACATTGTGGATAAAAATTATAGAGGCTCTGTAGATGTTTTCTACTTCCAAAGAGAATTAAGTTTTCTGGCAAGCAGATGGAATATTATCAGATCACCTTTATACTGTTATGGTCTGGGTTTAGAGTTTTTTAGGGCTGATTTCTTTCACTTTTATTTTTATTCCTAGGGTCTTAACTGAAAATGTGGTGCTTACCAAAGCCCCTCTACTCTGACAAGACTTGAACTCTTACCTTTGTCTTTTCATTGTCATGTACCTGCTTTGATCTTCTGATCATTGATCAGCTCATTAGCCTTTCAGCTACTGTTCTTTACTGGATTTCTTAGCATTTCACACCATACATGCCATTTAGAAGTCAACTGATGACTCAGGAGGAAGTTGGATACAGACTTCTGAGCTTGGTTCTCTGTAGTACCCTTCTTTCTAGATATTAGCCTCTCAAGTTCCTATTCTTTTAGCATCCTTAAAATCCAACCTCTGTTTCCATGGTCTAGTAAGAATGCCACTATCTGTTTATATCCTATTTCTTTATGCCACGATTCCTCAAATGTCCAAAGGAAAAAAGACAAGTTGAACATAGAGCTTATCTAGCTGTGCTGCCCTTCTCCCAGATATCATTGTCCCTGAGTCTGATGTATACGTGTTGTCATCATTTACTGCCAGTTTTTAAAAATCTATTTTGTCCAACTTTAGAGTTTCCAGACTATGGGAAGATAGTCTGAAACAACTTGTTCTGTCATGACCACAACCAGTTTTGACTTAAAAATATCTCTCTATAACATTTTAATGTTCATGTTCTTTTTAAAAATTTTTCTCTAATTTTCATTATCTCTGTTTTCTCTATTTTAATTTTAATTTGCCGTATTTCTCTAATTTTCTCTACTTGGGGATAAATCCACACATATTACAATTATAAATGGTCCAACCGTTGTAGAAATTATAATGAGAACTATATCATAGCTTTTTCTAAATCATTTTAAAATGATTTTTGAATCATTTTCTGTATGCTGACATTTGCATAAATCAAAACAAGAGCCATAATAATATAACCTGTCATTTTTTTTATCAAGGTATAATTGATATTATATTAGTTTCAGGTATACAACATAATAATTCAATATTTGCAAAATAATTACACAATAAGTCCAGTTAACATTTATTATTCTTATATTTAATTAGCCATGCTTTTGTCCATAACTTTCTCATTCATACTTCTTTCCTCGAAATGATTGTGATTCATTCACATTTGTATAACACTTCAGAGTTTGTAAACTACTACCTCATCCATTATAGTTTCATTTGATTTTCATAACAACCTGTTAGATATGTAAATATTACTATTTTACAAATGATTAAACTGAGTCTAAAAAAAGTTAGAGACTTAGGTAGTAAGTAACAGTAGGAACTTGAATATACTAGTTCCTAATTTCAAATCCTATGCAATCATTAAAAGTTTAATAAACATATTAAGCACTTGAAGTTTAATATTTAAGTAGGCTTACAGAAAAATACATACAATTCCTTCACCTAGTAGACTAGTTAATTTCCTTACTCCTTTTATCCTCTTAGTTTTTATAATAGTTGTAATTAATACGGATATCCCATTTTCCCCATTCTCTCCATTTCATAATTAATTGTTCATATTTCTATACCACTTTAATGTTTGACATTTTCTTCTGAATGAATTTTTTATTTGCTTTATTTAATCATACTTCTGTATAATCATACCAGTAAATCTGCAATAAAAGTTAACTTTTTTCTTTTAAGTTATTTTCTTAGGATAAATTTTCAAGACATGACTACTAGGTCAGAGAATCTGCTAGTTTGTAGGACTTCGATATGTTTGCCCAAGTTACTTTTATTTTTATTTTTGTCTTTAAGTTATCAGCAAGTCTATCTATTCATCTATTCGTCTGTCTATCTATCTATCTATCTATCTATCAATCCCATTTCTCTGTCATACTCAGAGATCATACTTTTAATTTCTTCATTAGGATCTGGATTATAATATCCAAGTTTGTCATCATTTTGTATGATCCCTCAGCCTTAATGTAAACTATACACTCATTTCTGTGTGTGCTCAGTGCTGATAACTCTTGGGGAAGCGCCAGGCATATATCACATCGGGGCTCTTCTTAACATAGGTACTATTAAGCTTCTTTTTAAGTATATATCTTAGTCTACCCTGGAACACCGGATTCCTACAAAAGAGCTTATTTTAAAAGTTGGAAAGAAAATCCTAGGTAATCTTTTTCTTTGCAAATTAAATTTGATGACTTTTTTTAAATAAATAGTTTTGGTATTTTGCTACGTGCAGAGCACTTTACTTTGAAGAAGAACCCAAATTACTCTCACTTGAAATAGTTCTTTAGGGTGGTCGAAAACATTTGATTGTGAGTTTACTGAACACTACGGAAGAAAGGGTCATGAAAGATCTCTTCAGTCTGTACAGAGGCTGTCTTTTATACTGTTTGATGAACAGTAGCTTAGAAACTTGTGTAAAGGGAAAAAAGCAAGTAGGAATAGAATCAACTGGAGTTTTTTGATGAGAATTTTGAGAAATCTTTTAAAGACATGAACTATCACAAAATGCATTTGATATTGTAGCACATATAGAAAGTAATTTAATTAATAGCCTTTTATAGATTAAAATAAATTAAGAAATCCCCATAAGATGTTTGGTTACCCAGGACTAAAGAGAGCTGTCTTGTTCTTCAAAGGGTAGGGATGTAAGGAGTGAACATGTGTGGGTATATGTGCATAAATGTTCATGTACAGGTACCCTTGGTGTTCATTTTGTATGGAGACCCTATTCACATGGTTTGCAATCCTCAGGAAAACGTTTGACCTACTGCATTTAGTTTCCTCTCAAAATACTCAAATTAGCAGACCCCTTCGGTGCATGTATATCACCATAGGACTCTTGGGCTTCCCTTCATTGATTAGTTTTTAGAGGCCAAACTCCATTGTTTCAGATGATAATTCTGGATATAGATGCTTTATACCTGACTCTTCTTTTAAATAATTCATCCCATTTTCCCATTAAACATAGTTGTATCTTTCAGACCACGCCCCAGTTTGGGTTCTTAATATCTAATTGTAGCCATATCTAATTGGAGCACTCTCTCAGATCTTCACACCTGCAAACATGGCATTATTGGGATATTTATCACTTCTCTATGGGAGTTTCTGGTTGTCATGGTATTATTTATTAAACAAGAGGTTTGTATATGATAAAGACTATTAAAACTTAGGGAGAAAAATTTTTCTGCAAGATTAAAGCTTACTATTTTAGTATGTCTTTACTGATAAATATTATTCAGCCATGAAAAAGAATGAAGGATTAATACATGATATAGCATAGATGAATCCTGAAAATGTTATACTGAGTGAAAGAAATGAGATATATAAAGCCACATATTATATGATTCCATTTATATGAAATGTCCAGAATAGGAACTTCATAGAGACAAAAAGTAGATTAGTGGTTGCCATGGGCTATGGGTAGGAGAAACTGAGGAGTGATGACTAATGAGTATGGGGTTTCCTTTTAGGGTGATGAAATGTTCTGGAATTAGACAGTGGTAATAATTGTACAACCTTGTGAATATACTAAAAACCACTGAATTGTACACTTTAAAAGGTGAATTATATGTCAGTTTTTTAAAGCTTACTATTTTAAGATAAAATATCTCTATATGAGACCTTAGAGTCCATGGTTGTCACAAAACTGAGCTACACTATAATGGGTTACATGATAAAGAATATGATCACTTTCTCATTCTATGACTTTGGGTAAGTTTTTTAACCTCTTTAAGTCTGTTTCCTCATCTTAAAATGGGACTAATAATATGAATACTTTTATCACAGAATTGTTTCAAGGACTAAATGTGACAATACCCATAAAGTGCTAAGCATAATGCATTGTGCCTGTGCAATGCTCATAGGGAGTCATCTTAAATGTAACTAAATACTCTCATGATTATCATGGGTGGCATCTGGCATGAGCTTTACTTAGAAGGACATTTGGACAGGGAACACAGTTAACCAACAGGGTGGCATCCAGCATTAGTAGAATTAGTTCTTCTACTAGTATATACTTCAGTTTACATAGCCAACCAGAGTTACTCCACTTTGTCCCCAGGTGGCAGTTCTGGGCTGAGGGAATGAGACTCACAGGGGTAGCCACAGGCCCTAAAGGAGTCGAAAATCTTTTATTATCACACTGCAGACCAGAGCTTCCAAGGTCCCTGCAAGGGACACATCCAGATACAGGAATCACTATACTCAAGCCCAAAGCCAAGGTTTTTTATCAGATATTTATAGTTCAGTTGCAGTTTCTCTCAAGTTGGTGCAGTTTACCTATCAGTTTACAAGCAGCGTTGCCGAATATCATAGCTGACAATTGTGTCTTCATCAGGTTTCTATTGAAACATAGGCCTAAAGGTTCAGTTTTCTTACAGAGGGGAAAGAGATGTGTTTTTTTAGCCCTTTATTCATAGCCTGATACTTAAGTGCTCAATAAATGTGCCTATCAGGAACTTCCCAAATCTCTCACTTTGTGTAAAGTAGTCCCTTTCTCAGTACCCCAAAATTTCTGGAGAACTCTGTCCTGTATGTCACATGGCTAAATTTAGGTTTATTCGTGCTTTATCCTCGCTCTTCTGATGTCTTTGTTCTACTCCACACTGTTCAGTGTGGTACGAAGTCCCTCACCGATGTCTTTCCTGCTTTGCTAAGCTTTTGTCAGTCTCCAGTAAGCACTGAATGTGCTATTCCAGACTCATAAGTTTTTTGATGGGAGCTACCCTGAAATGGCCTCAGGCTGGTGAAATTTTTCAGTGGTTTGTTTCAAACTGAGGGAAATGATTCTAATTTGGATATCCAGAAGGGTCCAAAGCAATGTTACTCTGGCCCTAGTGTGTTGCAACCATTTATTGATTAAACATTTCTTTGAGTTATTATTGTCTATCCTTTCTCCTAGAAATTATATGTGTATCCAAAGAGTTGAGATAGGAGTAGTTTTGAGTAGTAATTATAATGTGGTACCCAGGTTTCTTGCTTCTCTCCTTCATCTTGGGCTTATCATGTTAGACTTTTCAGATTTCACTGCTTCTTTCCTAGAGGTGAATCCTGTAATACCTTTTGTATGTGTTCCCCAAACACATAGAAAGACTCTACTAAGATTATGAAGAAACACAGAACTTCTTTGTTCTTTTGCCTTTATTGTCATATCTCCATTGTTGCTCTTCTTACGCCTCACCTTAGTGTCAGCCATCAGCACTCAGGTTATTTCTCAAAGTGAAGTTGTTAAACACACTGTGACACAATTTCATACATTACTTGAAATTAAAGTACCAGCTAGCTGTTCACTGGATTTTAATTTGCAATTTGAAGGAGACTAAAAGTGCTGATTCTTCTCTTGGGTTTCCATCCTGAGGGCGTACTGTATAGTCCTTAGGACAAACTCATTTTCATAAACCTGAAAACTAAAATCATAATAATTGCACTTTGTGTTTTACAGTGCGTGGACCAGTTGACAAAGATCCAAACTGAATTACAAGAGACAGTGAAAGATTTAGCTAAAGGCAAAAAGAAGTACTTTGAGACCGAACAGATGGCTCATGCAGTACGAGAGAAAGCTGACATCGAGGCAAAGTATGTGTTTTAGCATTTCTGAAAAAGTGATTATGCAAATAAATGTTATTTTTTCCAATACTTTGTTTTATGTTAACGTAGGGCTTAGACTCATTCTTAGGTTATAGTGGTTTCATCTGACCTATAGGTATTATGTACTTTAGATCAAAATTTTCTTTTGTATTGGCTGATTTTATTTAAAGTAACGTAACAAAATGAGAAGATTTGACCAGTTTTCACATTAAATTGAATTCTCATAATGAAAGAAGACAAATAAACATTATATTGAATGCTTAGCAAAAGTCTAGATAAAGTTGCTGTGGTGTTTAAGAGCCTCATTTTTCTCATGCTAGCCTGACTCTAAGTCAATCGTGGTTGTAAATTCCTGATCGTTAGCATGCCATCAAAAGACCATGGACACATCAAGTGAATAAAAGCACTTACCTCAGGCACAGTTTTTCTATTTTGTGAAATTCTAATACATATGCTTTTTATGTATGTATTAACCGTGAATTTTACTTTCTGTATTTGTGATTTACACATCCTTTATTTTGAGAATAATTAGGAAAAGAAGGAACTGGCAGTTGATAGTGGAAAGAGATAATAAAGCAAGCAGAAAAGAAGATATTCTGCAATGATAACTTGAGAAAAGATAAGTTTTTGAGAAGAAATAAACCTGTGTTATAGAATGGTACTCTGAAGAGGTCTTTAAGGAGAGCTAAGATTCGAGTTCAGTGAGCTTACTGATGCAAAGATCTAGGAGTCTGAACTCCTATCATGAAATCAGGAAGGCTATGAACACTTGTACAAACTAGCAAGGAGTAGGGGGGTGTCTATTTAATACATTCTTTAACTAAGAAATTAAACAATCTCATCAGCATCTTGAAAAAACTGAGGGACTCCTGGAAAGTTTATTTAATACCAAGGAATGCTAAATAAAAACTCATAAAATACTTATGTTACTGGAAAGTGTATTTATATTTCCCTAATTTATTTAATGTTTTATTTTTGTAAGCATACAAATATTTCCTGTACTTTCATAGAGTGAATGAACTCATCTTTCCAGTAAGACCCCAAATTTTTAGATTAGGTGATCTCCGTTGAGAATATCCTGTCATGTGGTTTTTAGGAACTTGTTTGTTAAAACTCTCGAGGATTCTAGAACACAGAGTTGACAAATTTGTAGAACATATATAAAGCCTACTTTAGCCAGGGCCCACAGGGTGAAAATGAGGACGATTGCAGGGCAGTTCCTGAAAAGTGTGGATTTGACAGGGTCCAATTCACAGATGCTGATCACAAGGAACTGCCTTCTAATGTGACTCAGATTCAAAGGAGATACAGCAAAGTAGATATTTTAGTTAGTATGTAACTTTTCTGAAAAATTAATTCAACTATAGAGTAAGAAATGCCTCTTTATCTTTACTTACTCACACCATTGGCTAATTATATTGGGTACTGAGGGTACAGAGATGAATAAGATAAGTTTTGTGCCCTTAGGAATTTTAAAGCCTAGAATTAAGGGCAAATGTGTTTAACTGTGTAAACTGTGTAAACTGTGATTTGTTCATGCACAATAAGCTCAAAAAAATTAAGTGCCTAAAGTCACTCACGTAGTAACTAATTTATTTATAGTAGGTATAGGAAAACATTTAGGTAAGCCTAGAAAATAGATTGATTGTGCCTAATGGAAAAGGAAACCTTTATAGAAGCAGTGATATTTGGACAAAGACTTGAAGAATGGATATAATTTTTCTAAGAGGTGAGAAGGAAGATCAGGAAGGGGAAGTGAAAACTGGACAATATGTAGTTTTGACCAATTTGACAAATGGTGAAATGTGAACATTAGGAGAGAGCATAGGAGGAAGAGGGATTCAGTTTGAAGGGAAGGATGAGTTCCGTTTTGGTTATGTAGGTTCTGAAAAACCTGTGGGACATCGGGGTGAATATATTTGGTAGAGAGCCATATAACTGACTCTCAGATGAGAATTTTAGCCTCGAAGTTCTCACTTTGGGGGTCAGTTGCCTTTCAGATGATAGTTATAGGGATGAAGTCATCTTTTGGATATTTTCACTTTATTAATCTCAATATTTCTATTTCACCATAATACTAAATTCTTGCTATAGTAAAGAAAAATAATCATTGCTCTTGGTTTTCTATTTTTTAGTTCTCTTTTAGAATAGTGTTGTGGAAAAGAGTAACTTTTTAAAAATTTAGTAATTATAATACTTGATCATTTTATGATATAATTTGATAATTTTATTAACCATATTTTTCTGTTTTTACTATAGATCTAAACTTAGTCTTTTTCAATCAAGAATCAGTTTACAGAAGGCCAGTGTAAAGGTGAGTTTTTGAAAACTGTATTTCATAGTTGAAAACCATTACCTTAGCTGTAAAAGAGAGAACTGGGTCTTTTGAGGTGGAGGTGAATTATTTTCAACTAATTTAAAGAAGCATTGTAAAGTCGTTAACTTGGGGAAGAACTTTCCTTCCCAGTTCATCAGGCTTTTTCATGCAGGTGTCAGCACTTTGGATAGTTTGCTTTTCAAGATTGCTTTACAGATAGGTTTCTATACCTTACCTGCCTAGGTAGACTTATGTCTTTAACTCTTAATCCAGGAGACTTAGTCCTTGGGCTTTAGAAAGCTCTAAAATTCCATTTTATTCATATTTATACCCTGAGCAGATATTCTGGGCCAGATGCAAGTGATTACAAGTGATTAGTTCTTGTGGGACTCTCAAGCTGTCGAAGACCTGATAAGTAAGCTTAGTGGCCTGCCTTTGGCTGCCAGCTACCAAATAGCATGCAGTTATTTTGGCACATAAGTAGTGCTGAATTTTTAAAAACCATTTTCTAATTCAAACAGATTTACCCATGTCTTTGAAGATAAAGATAAGGTACTTAATTTGGGAACTTTTATTTTCCCATCTGGATAAAATGAGCAAAATATCTTGAAGTTCTCTAAAATGCTTTGGAAG